TTCCCCAACCTGCTTTAATATCATCTTTTTGGAAAGAACAGTGTCCAGATGCATTATTCTACCATCTGGACAGGAAGGTGTGTATTTTCAAAGGTCCCATCCACATCTGTACCATTTTCCTATGATCACCCCCTTGTGGCTGCTATTTTTCCTACATAAAGCCACCAGAAGGCTTTATGAAGGCTTAAAAAAAAAAAAAGCAACAATTGCTATAGTGCTTATACTATAACAGTATAATTTTTAAAGCCCTCAAACCCCCTCCAGTGGCACAGTGGTGCAAATGAGAGCCTTAAGGAGTTGACAACAGGTATATATGCAGAAAAGCCCCGTGTGGACACTCAATTGCCAATACAGACTCGTGCCTCTGTATTTTGCACTAGTGATAAGAGCAACACGGAGAATCTTCACTGTTTGGAAGCAGCTGGAGATGCAAACAATTTTTTCTCATGCTGTGATACAGATAGGAAAAAAACTGATATTGAGGCAAGAGTGGGCAAAAAAAAAAAGAGTGGGCAAAAAAAAACCCTGGGAGAGCCAGTTTGGTGCAGTGGTTAAATGCACGGACTCTAATCTGGGAGAACCGGGTTTGATTCCCCACTCCTCCACTTGCACCTGGCTGGATGACCTTGGGCAAGCCATAGTTCTGATAAGAGCTGTTCTGGAAAAAGAGCAGTTTCTGTCAGAGCTCTCTCAGCCTCACCTACCTCACAGGGTGTCTGTTGTGGGGAGGGGAAGGGAAAGGAGTTTGTAAGCTGCTCTGAGACACCTTTGGGTAGTGAAGGGCGGGGTATAAATCCAATCTCTTCTTCTTCTTCAAATTGGAGATAAATGTCTTTCTAATAGATCAGAAGGTAGGGCATATCCAGAAGGCACACTTGGTTAAATACTGTAGCACAGACAGCCACTATTTTCTCAGCTGCTTTGCTTCTGTTGGCTGTTCTGATAGCCATATCAGTTCCATTGTTGGTGCTGCCTCTCAGGAAAGCGACCCACTCTCAGAATGCTATGAGAATGGAAGACTAAAGATCAAGCTGGACCTGGGTCTTTTCTCAATGGGAAACTTTCTGACTTTGCCTGTTGCTGTCACTTAGTTGCTCTGAAATGGAGCTTCTGAAGACCCAGGCTTGGTCCATCTGGATGTACTCAAGGGAAAATCAAAGCCATTTTGCATATGACAAATGGACAACTCTTATTTGTTGGTGACAGAATGCACTTTAAAAGCTCGTAAGTGCTGTATAAACATGTGATGGACCTTGAAGGGTTAATGCCTCACAGAGCCAGAGATGCCTTTGAGTGACAGGCTGCTCAAAATAATTGGATTGGTTAGCATCAGTTGAGCAGAAAGACTTGGGAACTGACTGCTGAAGAGAACTCAAGTTTGAGTTTAGCCCTGACTGTGGAAAGTTTCACTCTGACTGAGGAGAGTTTAGCTCTGCCTGAAAACAGTTTCATACTGACTGAGGACTGGGAAGACTGGCAAGGAAGAGTGGGTGGATCAGTGAAGACCCCCATTTAGGCCAGGAAAAAGGGATAGATCTTCTAGTTAGAGAAGAGATTCCCTGCCCAGTTGAAAGGGAGATAGCTGTAAAAGGTGGAGTGATCCCTGGAGTGTTCAGAGAAGGAATTTGGGTACTGGGTAGTGTATCCCTGTCTTCTGAAACTTGAAGTGTCAGTTAAACTCAAGAAAGTGGAGTGTTTAGGAAACATTGAAGCAAAAGCCTCTCATCTCAAAGATTTGAAGACTGTATGAAAAGTTTTAAAACTCTGGAAATGTATTAACTGTAGTTTGTGGAAATATTAAGTTACCTCAGAACTTATTGATTTACCTCAAATATATTACCCCTGATTTCACCTGATCTTTCCCCCTCTATGTTGAATAAAATATTTGGTTTATTTTTGAACTAGGAAAAAGGCCCGTTGTGGAAATAAATACAGTGGCCTCTAGAAAGAGGCTCTGGGCGGGTGCCCCGGCCTTGGACACCCAGTGTCAATTTGCTGTGATGACCTCAGCAGGGTATAATGACACTGAGTCCACCATTTTCTCCAGAGGAACTGATCTCTGCTACCTAAAGAACAGTTGTAATTTTGAGTGATCTCCAGCCCTCACCTGGAGATTGGCAAAGATGGTTCCCCAGAAGGGAATAGTTGGTTTGGAGGGTGGAGTCTATGGCTTTGTACCTGTCCGAGGTCCCACGCCTCCTGAAACCTCACCCTCTCCAGGCTCCATCCCTCACATCTTCAGGAATTTCCCACCTGGAGTTGGCAACCCTGTCTCCTTCCCAGCCAATCATCAACCTACCTTTATTTCCCCCTCACTCTTAGCTTTCCACCCCACACACACCTGCAGCCTCTCCCGTGCTCTGAAGCCCTGACTGCTACGTCACATTGGCTGTCATACGGGGGCCACCTCAGCAGCATATAAGGATACAGAGCCCACCATTTTCTCCAGGGGAACTGATCTCTGCCATCTGGAAAGCAGTTGTAATTCTGAGTGATCTCCAGCCCTCACCTGGAGGTTGGACACATTTTACCTCAGAACAGCAAACTGTTTAGAATTTTAGAGGCAAAAGCCAATCAAGTCGCATATGCAAACGACCTCTGTGTTCCAAGGCAAAGGCCAATGAGGCTGCATATGCAAATAACCTCTGTGTTCTGACTGGCTATGAGGGGAAAGGAACAGCAAACTGTTTAGAATGTTGGAGGCGAGACTCAAGCAATGCAGCCAGTGGATAGGGACAGATTCTGAGTGACACATTTCAAAAGTGACATATTTCAAAAGTGACATATTTCAAAAGTTTAAGTTCAGAGGGTGATCTTGTCTCTTCCCTCAAGTTCCTGGGTTGAATCAGCATCAAAATAGCTGAACCCGGCGAAGACGGAGGTCCTGTGTCTGGGCCGGAACGGGATGGGACTGGGGCTCTCACTCCCGGCCTTCGATGGGGCGCTGTTGGTGCCAGCTTCGGAGGTTAGGAGTCTGGGAGTGCTCCTGGACTCCACCTTATCGATGAAGGCCCAGGTAGCAGCCACTGCCAAAGCGGCCTTTTACCATCTTTGGCTGGTGCGGCAGTTGGTCCCCTTTCTCAGCCGCGAAGCCACAGTGATCCATGTGACGGTCACCTCAAGGCTAGACTACTGCAACGCTCTCTACATGGGGCTGCCTTTGTCGCTGATTCGGAGGCTGCAGCTAGTGCAGAATGCGGCGGCCAGGCTGGTTGCTGGTGTCTCGAAATGGGATCACATCCAGCCTGTGCTCAAAGCGCTGCACTGGCTGCCTATAGCATACCGGATTCACTTCAAAGTGCTGGTGCTTACCTTTAAAGCCCTACATGGCCAGGGTCCAGCCTTGCCCCACATAGATCCCAAAGAGCACTTCGGTCGGGGTCGCTACATCGCCTTGCGATCCCGGGCCCAAAAGAGGCCAGGCTTGCGGCCACTAGGGCCCGGTCCTTTTCGGTGGCGGCTCCTATCTGGTGGAATGAGCTCCCAGAGGAGATCAGGGCCCTGCGGGACCTATTGCAATTGGTTGGTGTACCGACCACCTAACGCAGGGCCTGCAAGATGTAGCTCTTCTGCCAGGCTTTCGAATAGGAGTCGCCGCCGCCACCACTACCACCAATGGGGACCGTTTTACAGCACCGCCGGAGGTCAAGTGGCAAATAACATCAGGAGGCCACAGTAACCTCCCCTGGAATGAAAGGGTATGTGCAATATGGAGAGAGGGTCTCAGTCACGCAGGATCATTGGGCGTGGCCCATGTATTAATTGTTTTAAACTGTTTTTATTGCATTTTATTGCACTGTGTGCCATATTGTTGTAAGCCGCCCTGAGCCCGCTTGCGGGGAGGGCGGGGTATAAATAAAATTAAATAAATAAATAAATAAAATACAATAAAGTGAAAGGGTGGAACAGCTATATATCTTCAGACAAGAAGAGAATAGATGGCTGCTCAATCAAAAAGGAAGAAAAAATTGAGGGAATTTTTTTTATTATTATTCACATGTGATTTCTATACCGCCCATGACCCCTAATGGGTCTCAGAGCGGTTTACATTAGACTACATCTGTAGTCGAATCCTAACTAGGGCCACAATTTGTGCGGGGAGGGGTTACCTAGCAGCACCCGGACGGCGGCTTTCTCTCCTTCTTGGCGGCTCAGGCGCAGTCTCGGCGCTCCGAGCAATCGGCGACCATCGGCGGGCTTCTTGGTGGATCCTCCGTCGGGGCGCACTGCTCTGGACTGCGGCTTTTCCGGCTACTCATCCCTTCGGGCTCCAGCCGCGCCGCGTCGCCCTGCAGTTGCGTCATCCGACTCCGCCTTCATCCGATGTAGTCGCCTCCACGGCTCACCGGACACCGCCATTGTTCTTCCTCGCCGCCGCTTCTCTTGCTGCCGCCTCTCTCTCACATCTCCCGTCACCGTCGCCGCCGCCATCAACCCTCCAGGCACAGAACCAGGAGGAGGGTGCCCCCTGCCTCTAAGGCACGTACCCATTTCTCTACTTGTAGTTACTTTCGAGCTGCTGGATTGGCGGGAGCTGGGACTGAGGGCCGGTAGCTCACTCCGGCCGCGGTGGGGATTCGAACAGCCATTGTGGCTGTCCGCTATGATGTTACTGGCAGGCATCGAACTGGGTGTCTGGGTGAGGGAACGGGTCTAGGTGACTGTCATCATAGTCGGAAACAACATGTAAACCATCCCATATCAAAAATTCATGCACACATTTTCCCCTTCATATTCATGGATCTGGAAGCCTTCCT